TCTGGCTGGATCCTAACAAAACTCTGCTCCAGCAGGTGCTGGAAACCCACAGATAAGGAGCTGAACCATCCCAGGGCACTGACCCTGCTGAACCTGCTCTGGGAGAAACCCCAGTCATCACTCAGGAAAGCATCCAGCACCACCTCATACTAAAAAATGGATTAAATACCTTGTATGCTGCAGTATGTGATTTTAGCCATATGTGTAAACAGGCATCTGTTCTTTTTCACTGGCCATAAACATATGTAATCTACATACCTGCTGAATTTTTTTTTACTTTGCATTACTTTCCAGAGTAATGAAGTGATTTTTATATTGAAATTATCTAAAGGCTAATGATAAACAAAAAGTTGCAAAATGATACTGACATTAATTTCCACCTTGCCACCAACTGTCATTCTCTGGGGTCTCAAGTGGAAACAACTTTGCCTTCCTCCAAAAACCCTCTCACTGCCCTTGACAGAAGGCAATTTTATTTAATGAAGACACACGTACTTCAGTATAAAGGTGTCAAGTGAATTTTTCATGAGCTCCTTTGTCTCCAAAGCATTCCAGCTGCTTCATCTCACTGTAAAATTGTAAATGAAAATTAAAGTTTTTGTGGAAGTGCAGCTGTTGCTTTGAAAAGCATCTGTTTACCAACTAATACTGGAAGGCAGTAACACCCTCAGCTTCTGCTGTGAAGCAGCAGAAGTAAAAGACCAACAGAACTGGGCAAACAGACACCCTGGAGAGAAATGAGCATTACTGATAACATCAGCACTGTGAGGAAATCAATATTCAGATATTTTTAGGTGCCTCATTTTCTGCAATTAATATCTTGAGCAGTATTAAAAAAAAACAAAGCAGCCGAGCTTTTCCCCCTTCTATATTCCCCTTTCTTTAACATAGAACTGTTCTTTACTGTGAGGAATTTCATTACAGACCATCCCTGTCATTAGTGCAGTATGCTGGTATTTACTCACAAGGAAACCAATATAGTCAGCGCAGCTATACATAAGTCTGCATTTCGTCTAATTTCAGAGCTAAGATCCACATACACTGATTCAATTACACAGTAGAGTTTGCTGCAGCAACTGTGGCCCTTATTCTTACCTCACTGGCTACATGGTTATTTAAATTTGCACAGATGTGCAAAAGTGTTGCAAAAGAAAAGATGATTTTTTTCCCCTTGCTGATATTTTAGTATCGTGGAAGTATGAGTAAGCTGTATTTAGGCATATGGTTAAAAAAACACCATACCCTTAGAAGTCAGACCAGACTGTATATAAGCTGCTTGCTGAACCTGCTACAACACTCTAGAAGTTTGTGAGAGCAGACACACTGCAAACTTTTGGCCTTTATTTCACCAACTATATCCTGCAACCTTGTGGGGAGAGTTCTGGTTTAAAAGATGAGTTACCATGATTTATCCTTTCACCTCTTCTTATTGTTAAGAGTTTTCTTATAATCATTTAATCATTAAAAAAGTGCAGCTCTGTGCCTATGCATATTTTTACAGAGTTAGGTCACATTTACCACACAGCAGATAATCTGGTACATTCCATCACTATTTAGCAAATATAGCTGAATATTAAGGAATTTATTTTTACCTTTCTCTTTTCAGCCTCTGTGCATATAACAGGACAGAAATAATGTTGTGTAGGCTTCTTGCTTGTGACATTTCCTAATTTTGAGGCACTTTATTTCTTAGTCTCAATATTTATTTTTGTGTAAGATGTGTTATCCAGAACAGCTCTAGTACAATGGCATCTATCCTCAGATATAATTTTCAGTTATCAAACCAAAGTAACATTTAAAAAGTGATCATAATCTTAAAGGCTCAAACATAAAGATAAGAAAATATATAATCATAAAAAAAATCACTCTCTTCAGTGCAGAAGTAGATTTCAATTACTCCTAATTAATTCTGGTTCTGCTGAGATTGGTATCTGGTTTAATATAGCTGCCTTGCCAACTGGATGCAATTTCGTCCTCCTGAGCATAAAGATTTTTCTCAGTTTTAATTTAACTGATAACATAGGGTTTGACTAATAGCTGCTATGGCAGCTACAGTGCTTTGTATCCCAGTAATATACAATCCTGAATTATACAGATGATCCAGAGAAGCTACAAGCAAGTAGTTTTCTATTTGAGCAAAACATAGCTCAGAACAGAACTTCCAGAAAGGAACGAAGGATCAACAGGCTGATTCTTTTCCATCAATAACCACTGGACTGCAGAAAGCAAAAAAAACCACCCTGATAGATCTATGAAGGAAGAAAAAAATGTTTCAATATTGTTAAGATATTGCTGTGCACTGGCTTGAGTGACTGCACCAAGTAAAAGCTAATGCCAATGCCTTCAAGCCTTCAGAGGAGAAGAACTTTTTTACTAAGGATTTCTGTCACTGTTGTGAAGGTAGAGACAGACCAAAATTAGTGCTCCCAGAGGGGACAGTCTGTGGGCACCCAAGTATCCAGAAAAGAGAGAAATGTGGGAAAGACACATTTCAGAAATTCTGCTTCTCAAAATTTTGGGGGTTTTTTGGAGGTTTTGTTTGGTTAGTTGGTTTTCTTTTCTATTTTTTTTTTTACAGTAGGAATGCTGATAACTAAATTACTTTCCATTGGAATATCTCTGCTGAGTTTTCTCAGGGTAAGATATTAGGATTTTCCTGAATCTATAGGATCAAGGATTACTAGAGCTGACATTTAAAAAAAATCCACAAAGGAGAATCTGTCCTTCCTGCAGACATGAGCAACTATAATATTTCTCACATGGTTTTGATTTGTAACTACTCCAAGCAGCAGACTCTCTGAACATCTGTTCACTGAATGTCCCAGAAAGATTGGTTTTGTATTGCAAATTTCAAGCATCTCCAATATTACCCTGCAGTACAAGCGTCTTTGCTCTCCTTGCTGAAATGTTTTTAATGTGGATATCTTAGATGAAATATACTTGCCTGAAAGCTGATAATTACCTATATATTTTTTTAATTCCTACACATTTTTTAATATTGAAGATTTTGCAAAACTCATATCCAGTGATCTTGCTTAGCCATTCTTTTTTGCTTTCTCTTTTATTTTTATTTCATTTTCTTTCTATGGCATTTCTTATAAATGGAAAAGTTGTTTGACTTTTTAGATGATGACTTTTCATTTAGATGCCTGCTCAGGATGTACTCTTCCAAGAAAGGCTCAATGACAATTCACTAAAATAGAAAATCATATTTAACATTTGAGATCAGGCCTTATCTGGCACGCTCATTTATTACAAATCTTTACAGAGCTATCTATCTTACAGTAAATTTTCAGACCATTAACCTGCACATGCTTAACTTCGCAGCTCTGTGTGTAGCCCTCTGTAAATTCAGTATTCTTTCATGGATTTTAAAAGTGAGTGCAAAGTACCCTCAGGATACAGGATTACCTGACTGTGCTTAAGCACCAACAAAGCACAAGTAGTTATGCTACAAAGCAGAGTAAAATTCCACCCCCCCATAAACTCCCATACTCTGGTTTTGACTGTAGATCTTTATACTGAATGAACTTTTTCATATTGATTTATCTCAATATTACCAGCTAATAAATATGACATTGACAACATAAACTTTTCTAGAAATGAGTACACTTTTCTGTAATTATATTAGGATATACATTTCATAAATGTATTTCTTGTTTACCTTGAAAGACCAACAGAAAAATAAATTAGCAACCAAAAATCTTGGAAAAAACCTCAAAAACAGATGTCTGAGCAATTCTTACTCCTTCAAATTGATTACACTGTAAGTAAATATGCTCATTAAATGATAATCAGAACATTGGAAATGTTCCTCTCTTAAACTATCCATGGTTTTAGACACGGGGAGACTTGACAAATGTTTATTATTTAAACTGAGTGCAAAGTACAACAGTGTTCAAAAATACAACTGTTCAAAATTGCTTGTCTGCTTGCTAAGAAAGAGGGTAAATATTCACTGCAGTGTTCCTTCACCTGAACAGGGGGGATTGAAATATCGGTTATGAGCTGAATTAGAGTGATATTGCAGGAAATATTTGTAAACATCTAACTGACCAAGCACATCCTGTGGCCCAATTCCAATTGTTTTTCTAATATTAGGGCCAGGAGCAGTTGATGTACCACACCCAGGTTAGTAAACAGGAAAGGCTACATCTCTTGCTTTGTCCTGCAGTGCCATGTGACAAGGGGAGACACAGGATATGTCCAGGAGGATCCATATAGGCAAGAGGAGATATGGGATATGTCCAGGCAGATCTGTGCAGGAAAGGGAAGACATAGGATATCTCTGGGCAGATCCATGTACGCACACCCAAGCTCTTCAGTGCTATGCTCAGAGAGGAGACAGGTTGCACCAGTGCAGAGAGCTTAAACTCTGCCTACACTTCTATGCACAGATATCTATTCTTTCTTTCTTTGTTTCTTTCTTTCTTTTCTTTCTCCTCCTTCCTTCCTTTCCTTCCTTCCTCCCCTCCCCTCTCCTTCCCCTTCCCTCCCCTCCCCTCCCCTTCCCCTTCCTGTCCCTTCTCTTTCTCCTCTTTCCTTCTTTCTTTCCTGCCCCAGCTGATCTCCAATGTTACAAATTTGCTGCAATTTAGAGCTGAATATTCAAAGGTGACATCAGCCATAGGTTTCAAATTATGCACTCAAGCACAGAAGCAGGATTTTCTAATCTAAAGGACTGTATCCTCTGTGAAATGAGGAGAGTCCTCAGAACTTGCAAAGAGAGGGGAGAGGAAGGGAGGTGCCTTGTGGGGGTAGGTACAGCAAGAGAAGACAGGCAACACAGTGGTAAGTCATTGGCAAGGAAGATGAGAGAAGGATGATAGGAAAGGTCACAGGTAATCCACAGCCAGGGCAGGAAAGTGTAGAATTAATCAAAGGAGGGAGATGAAATAAGGCAGGGGCATCTTGGGAGATGCTCTTCTTTTATCTGAAAGATGCTTCTAAAACCTGACCTCTGTTTTTCACTGCGCCACTGACTGTTCTTACATCTTGAGTTTTCCTTGTAGATGTGTTCCCATCCCTCTCTCGAAGCTTCTCCCATGTGCAGACTTCTGATGCACATGTACATGACACTCTGCTAAGGAATACTGGAAATCCTGTAGCACCAAAGAGCTGGTATGTCACAACAGCCCAGTGCTGTTCATAGATGATGGTTTTGACTCCAGAAGGGTGCCTTAGCCATTAGTCTTCACCTGAGCTCACCAGCTTAGGCAGGGGCAGCTGTACCATCTTGATTTGCAAGCCAGTGGGTCAGGCTTCTCATGGGATCTCTGAACTTAACTGTATTGTGGAGCCTGGTTGTCTGCACTGATACATGAGATAACTTGTGAGCCATTTAATCAAACCCTCTTTTCACCAACTTATTTCCTATTAGTCATTGTCATTACACCTGACATTGCTCCAAAGTCAGTCAGGATTAACCTCTGGATTGCTAGGCCTACCATGAATTTATTTGCTCCTCTTCACCCTTTCAGAACATCTTAATGTCCAACAACCTCACAAGATATGGCCTGTATCTCACAAGACTGCTGTATGATTAGAAAATATTTTCTTTGTACTTCTGCCAAAGAATGTCTGCAAGGTTGCACAGCAAATGTAGCAAAGGTAGGAGCAGTACCAGATTTTTCTGAATCTCACTAAGATACACTCCTCAGTCACAAGACTAATTTATCTTCCTTACATGCACCTTTCTTCTCCACCATGATGAGATTTATTATCTAATCTCTGTACTGAATAATAATATGCCAGCTGTCAACTGCCTGGAATTCTTACACTGGGAGAAAAAATGGTGAATGTATATAAATGACAAAGCAAATCGTACTCTAACAATATTTAGTCTTTGCCAGTCAATACTGGCAGTAAGAACACATATAACTAAAAATATAAGATTTTATAATAATTGAAATTATGTTGGCTCAATAACATAAAAAGTATATATGCACAGACTTTATTTTAGGCATGATCCTATTCCTATTTTAAATTCTGGCTTCAGATACCTCAACAGCCATTTCTTTTCTCACACTGCTGTAAACAAAGAATAATTTTGGTGAAGCTGCTGTGGCACCAGCAAAGGCTATGGAGTGAGGAAGCAAGCTGGTAGTACTCTGTGAGGAGGGGGTCAGCCAGCCCTATTCCCTCCTGAAGTCTGCAAGCAGGAAACAAAGCTTGAACAGATGTTTGGGTAGAGCATCTTGCTCTATGCTGCAAGAGGCTCCAAGGGGAAAGCAGTTCCTGGGACCATGCTGTAAACCATCTTGTGTTCTGTCTTTACTGTGTAATCCATGTGGGACCTCTCGTGTTCAGCTCTACAGCTCTGTCTTCTACATGAGAGAGAGGCAATGAATTAGCTCTGTGGACCCTCCCCTGCTTGCTGACTGCTGTGCACGAACAGGCTAGTGATGTTTGGGCTGGCAGTGACATTGAGAGCCCAGCTGTGGTCTGTGCTATTTTTCCCATGCATCTCCTGTTTGTGGCCACAGGGGCTCTGATGGTCTGAGGCTGTCCCTGCTAGGAGGGCTTTTCCAGAAAACAAGAAGACCTTCTGTGCTGCTGACAAACAGTGCCTCATCCAAAGTAACACCACTCGGGTGTCTCAGGTTTCTTATCTTTGAAAATGATATCCCAAGTACCTGCTCTAAACTTGGAGGGGTGGGGAGAAGGGAAGGGAGGTTCTCACGTGATGGTGTCACAGTGGCTGAGCAGCCAGGCTGTGGCTGGCACATCCCCAAGCTGTTCCACCGGCCTGTCCCTGCTGCCTGAGCGCTTCCTCCACTGCCCTGTGCCAGGCACAGCTGCCCAGCTCTGACAAACCCTGCCTTGGGAGAGAGGTTGTGAAGAGGCAGCAAGGCCGTAGCATGGTGAGGGACATGTAGCTCTGGCTGCTGGGGAATATGAACCGGCTGTGTCTTCCTCCATCTCCCCATGTGGGATCTGAGAGCTGGAGGTTGCTATCACATTGCAGGCCTGGCTGCTGTTACAGTGCCTTTTGCATGAAGAGCCACTCAGTGACAGTACAGCCCTTCTCAGGCTGATGCCGAATGAAAAGCTTTGTCACGAGCAGGTTACAAGTGTTGTGGCACAGTCCATGCTGCTGCTGCAAGAGCTTGCCATGATACTTTCTGCAGCTGCAATGGCATTGTTGTAGCTGTTTCTGGTCGGGGAAAATGAGTCATAAATAGAATTTATTGTTGGTGTATCTCCACTGTCTGTACTAACAGCAGAAGCCAGAGCAAACTGTAGCTGATTTGTTTGTGGTTTATATTGAGTTCATAAACTAACTAGAGAAAAAGGTGAACAATTTGCTATGTTAAAATGTAACTAGGAAAATGGCAAAAGGGCAAACTATTTGCCTGAAAGGGAATTTATTTATGTCAAAACTGCATAGGAAGCTTGAGATTACAGTAGCAGTACTGAAAGCCCTTTTTGATCAATAGGTTATCTCATAACTTAACACTTAGTAGAATTTGCTTCCAAGTCTGAAGGCAACATTTTTGAGAGGCAAATTAGCCACAGGACACACACATGAGTGAACATACAGTGATCTTTTACTTAATTGTTATTTCTTCAAATGGAAAACATACATTTGGTTTGCATTAATGGCTTCATTGTAATGATTAATATCTCTGTGCCTTTCTGTGATTATTTTTCACTTAAGAGTGTGGTTACCAGCAATAGTGTTAAAAGAAACAAGTGTTAGTATATCAGTCATCTCACTAAAAGCACTAAAAAAATTTCTTTAATTTTAATCTCTTTTAATAGTCCTTTCTGCCCAACATGCATTTCCCTCCTTGTCCACAAGAATAGAGTTATCTTTCAGAATATATTGCAAGTTCTATGTTTTAACTTGTGTAGGTGGGAGAAGACAATCATAGATCCCTCTTTTATTTTATTTATTTACTTATTTTTTAATTTTTATTTTTTCTCTGTGTGATGTGACTTCCAGGAACACGTAGATCTTTCCCTGGCAGCATTTCTGGGCTCAGCTTTCAAGTATCTGATGATATGACCTTTAGGAACCATCGCCCTTCAATACAGTAAGGTTTGCTGTATTCTGGTTGAAACCGGGTGTTTGGATAGTGGCTGAAGGCTTTGTGAAATCCCTAAGTGAAAGGACAAATGATAGAGGAACAACATTTTCTAATGCTTGGTTTGTTGAGTGACCTTTTGCATCTGTCAAATAAAAAAGTGGATAATATTTCAAAAATAAAACTAAAAAAATAACAAACATGCACCTAATTTTTTTTCCCAATTTCACATGAAGCCATTATTTTAAAGGAAATAAACTGCCAGGGACTGTGATGGAAATCAGGCTGTACTTTCCTGGAATTTTACCTAAAAAGCAGTGTACTATTTTTATCCTTGCTCTTCCAAAGATGTGTGCATGGGCTTTGCCTTATGCCATTTAAGCTCACATTAAATGCATTAATCTTTATGAAAGGACTTTATAAAAAGACCCTTCTAAATACAACTAGTTGTGATATCAGTTTAAGTTACAAAACTTTCCTGGAACTAAGAAACTGTCATCATGGCTAGGCTTCGTGAACGAAGATTTGGGAAGGGCTCTACCCACATTTGCTACAAGCGCACTGGTGGCTAAAAAGGCGAATGGGAGACAGACAAGTCTGGTTGCAAAAGGCCCAGCAGAAAGACTCCTTGGATGATGTCGGCAAGACACGATTCTTTCCGCGTTATCTTTTCTCCTCTACAGTGATCCTGCATGCGTTCTCAAAAGAAGCAGCAGCGTTATAGATGGTGTGTCTCCAGACCTCCCAATTGGAGGCCAGAGTAGATCAGTTATGATGATCAGTATGGCCAAGGCTGAGATGTTGTTTCAGACAGTCCTTGTATCTTCTCTTCAGGGCTCCTCTCTTGCGGCAGTCGGTGGCAAGTTCACCATAAAGCAAGATCTTAGAGAGGCGGTGGTCCTTCATCCTGGAGACGTGCCCTGCCCAGTGCAGGTGTGTTCTCAGCAACATGGTCTCTATACTTGTGATTTCTGCCTGTTCTAGAACAGATGTATTAGTCACATAATCTGACCAGTGGATGTTTAGGATTGTACGGAGACAGCGTAAGAAACTGTACATACCAGTAAATCAAAACGATTAAAGTATTTATTGTTTACTAGAAAAAATAATATCAGTCATGTAAAGTGGGTGAAAATTTGACTTATGAAAGTATAGTTTAGATCTCTGTGTGGTCCTCCTTCCCTCCCCTCACAACTAATTAATGTATGGATATTTTTCCACTATTTCATGACACCAACTCTAATTCTCTATTACGTACTCAGTTGCTTACAGAGAAAAACCTGTCAGGAACTGTGTCTTCCACAACGTGCACAGAGAAGGCAGTTTTCACCTATGATGCCATCTAAATTATGAAAACAATTACTGGTCAGAGCTAGAAAACTAACAATTTCTCAGGAGTTTTCATGCATTAAAGATCTTAACAAGCTGGAGAACAGGGAATGAAATTTTACAGTTCACTAAGCATTTTTCCTGTTTTCTTAGAGATGGAATATCTTCATGCAAGCAGCAATGCAAAGAATAATAAGAGTCTTCACATGCTGAATCTATACACAAAATGACAAGCTTGTGAATTATAGTCCAAGCATGCCTGATACCATGGCCAGGAAACCTGCCCCACCAGTTGCTTGTCATCAAAGTCTTCTTTGATTTTGCAACAAAGGTAAATAAAAAGAATTGTTATGAGGAACAATGGGTGAGATTCACTTGAGCTGGGTTGGGAAAAGCTAAATCACAGTTTTCCAGCCAACCATTTGCATGTGTTTCCAAAGCTTTACTTGGCGATATGTGCAGTGTTTCCACTGTCAATGGGAAGCAGCTGCCAGCCAGATCTCATGTCTTTTGGGCCAGAACAAATCTGACATGTTCTAAACCCTAAGACTAGTGAAATAACACATGAATTTAAGTGACTAGTCTTTGGTTGTACTGCTCAAGTAAAAATTCCCAGGATCTCCTAAATACTAAAATATTGGGAGGAACTTTTTACTGGAGATTATGTATTATGTCATATTATACATGACAATTTATACCAATTTGTATCCTGAATAAAATATGTAATATGTATACCTATCATACATTTTACTACTATTCCCACTAGCATATCTTTGGGAGTAGTATTTATTTTTGTTTTGTGGGGTTTTTTTGGTTTGGGTTTTTGTTTTTTTTTTTTTTTTACCATGACCTTGGTCTCCCTCCCACCCCGATCACACAATTGTTTGCAGGACTGCTGCTGGCTGAGTTCAGAGTAAGTCACTGCGTTATTTGTTGAGTGGGGAGACAAAGAGGACCACACACAGATCTAAACCATAGTTTGATAAGTTAGATTACAATCCAGTTTACATTACTGACTTTATTTTTTCCAGCAAAAAATAAATACTTGAATTGTTTTGATTTACTGACATGTAGCATTTCTTAGTTATAGGGAAGCTTTGTAACCTGTAATGATATCACAACTTCCATGTAAACAGGAAGGTTGAATCTTTCTTCCTACTATACTTGTATGGCTTTTGTTATCATGAAGTGCCTCTTACTCTGAACTAATGTACCCTCACGAGAAGCACGCAAGGGTCGTCAATACCATTGCACAAGGCACGCTGGACTGTACAGAAAGTGGCTTTGGCACATGGGCTGGTTTAAAGCTCCCTGTAAGCATTGGATGCAGCAGAGTACATCGGTGTGGTTGGCACTGCTGAGTGCTGAAGGACGCCTGCAATTCAAACCCTAACCCTGTATTGCCCAAGGGTGTGCTCATGCCCAGAGGGTGGTCAGCTCACACCTTGTTACACCTAAAAGCTCACGCTTATTTTGCGGAAATAAGAGGCATGGATTTCCCTGCCTCCTCCCTCCGCTTGAGGAGGTTCACTTCTGTCATATCTTGTAGACGACACATGGTAGAGATTGCAACACTGGGGTAGACTGGTTGTGGACACAGCCACTGTGTCATTTCTGATGAGAGTGGGCTGTACGGAGAGTGGAATGCAAGTTTTAAAGGTCAAGGAAGAAGAGAAAATTGTCCAAAGGAAAAAAAAAAGCAGCTTTGTGTGTTTGCAGTAAGAGGTGTGGCTGGTGAGAGAGACTATTGTGTTCTGGAACAGTGTGTGTTTCCAAAATCTTCCTGCCATGGTCCGCCTTAGAAAAACTTTGAAGAATCAAGGCTGACACATCAACAAAGGTCAAATAATGTCTGCTGAAGGGTTGGCAAAGGGAGTATTTATTGTGATGAGAAATGAGCATTGCGAGCATTGAGCTGGTCAGTTATCAATGAACATCTTCAGGCACAGGAAAATGCACAATTAGCACAAATTGTTGACAGCATTTCCATTTGCTTGTTAAGATAACATCTCTCCTGTTCAAGTTCAGCTGGAAGACAGCTGTTCTTTCATAAGCTAATTTGAAGATTAGTCTATTATCATGAGAGTCATACAGTTAAATATGGCAACAGTTAGGTAGAGCCCTCCATCCTTTCCACATGGCTGGTACCATCTCCTCTGAGCAGTACCTTATACCTGACTGAAGATACAGAAAAAGGCCGGTGACATCTTGTGACTCTCCAGGAGACAAACCTTGCAGTGGAGAGGTCATTCACTCTCTGCTCTGTAGAGCCTTCTCAAGAGGACCCATAATTTTTCTGAACTGCTACAGATACTTAAGTTGGGGTACAAGATTCAGTTGCTGGAATAGTCTTGGCCCTCCTTTGAAACAATATGTTTTAAAATAAGAAAATATCATGACAATCTACTGTCCCTAAAGTAACAGATTTCTCCACAACACTCCATCCTTTAATATGAGCACCAATTATTCACCTGCTAATAACTGCATCTAACAACCCATTCAGCATTCCACACACTAAGAAGGCAGGCACAGATCTTAATTTCTGATTAGAGGAACTAAAGTTTGCATGTTTTGTGCAGGTGAGAAGGAGGCACAGATGCATGATGTGGAGAAGATAAAAGTAGTTCAAGAAAAGATTTAAAAAACAGATAATGGTTTTGGTTACCAAGGACAGAGGTGATGAACTGGTAATTATTTTTTTGACTTTACAGACCATAAATTAAACTGATGGCAATTTTAATGGAAATAACCCTAACCTCCTATTTTCTAGTAAAAATGTTATGTAATAATGTTATTATATATGGAGTTTATGTTTTTTCAGAATTAACAGTAAATATGCCTATAAAATTAAACCACATTGACTTCCCAACTGGTTTTGTGTTGAGGAACATGTGCAACAATAGCCACCCATTGCTAATGGTACAAACCTGAAAGCAAATAGCAGGTCATCTGATCTCTCCTTGGCCAAGCCACATCTTAGCACCAAAGCTGCTGTGAAGAAAAACTGTTGACTCTTCAGCAGGTCACAGATATTTGCAAGGACCACCTTCAGTTTGATTAGCTTATTCCTTGAAATTCCCCAAAGAACTGCTAGGAAGAAAGGCTCCGAAAACCAGGGTGAGCCACACAACCAACTTCCTGACTTAGAGGCCTTCCGCCTCAGTCGTGACCTGCCTGACTTTTAAGGTGTTGCTCGACCTGTAAAGGAAACATTTACAGCATCACTGCTGACGGGGAATCCCGTCTCACGAACAAGGGGCTCTTTGCCCTTCATGTTAAAGCAGAGATTACGGAGAACATAGTGAGATGCTTCTCTGTCACACCGTCATGGCCAATCCACTGGGGTTCACTTCAGGGTATCACATTATGGCATTTCCTTACCGCAGCGGCACCTTCAGCAGCAGGCGGTACTTTGCAAACACTGCTGGAGAGGGATGCCCCATCCCTGGAAGTGTTCAAGGCCAGGCTGGAGGGGCACTGAGCAACCCGGTCTAGTGGGAAATGTCCCTGCCCATGGCAGGGGGGTTGGAAAGAGTTGCTCTTTCAAGTCTCTTCCAACCGAAGCCATTCTGCGATTCCACGATCTTGGGAGAAATCTGCGTGCTCCTCAGCCCTCTGAGCTGGGTCCCGCGGCGGGGCACGAGGGTGAAGCCCAGCGGGGCTGGCGGGGTTTGGCCGCCGGGCGGGGCCGCGGGGAGGGCAGAGGCGGGGCCGGCGGCAGCGGCCGGGGCACTGCGGAGCCGCCGCGGCGCTCACCGGGCGGGGACTGCACCTTCCCCTCCGCAGAGCGGCACCGCCCCCGGCCCCCGCCACACCTCCGGCCCCCCGCCC